AAGCTCCCACTAAGGACAAGTCTTTTGTTGAGAAAGTGGGATGTAATATGAATGTCTTGTTGCAGATTAGTAGGCCTCATGAGAACCTTTCTCCTGAGTTTTGTGATACAAACATATCCAACTGAGCTACAGTTTTCTTTCCCTTTTGCATTTTTGGAACAACCATTTTCGATATGTTTATGGCAGTTTCCTACATCACTGGACAAATCACCTACAAATGGAAGCATTCATACATACAGATACACACCTACACAACACCAGGCTAGACAATCATATCCAACAGAATGCAAGCCTTGTGTTTAATGTATCCGGTACAATAAAATATATATGATTTAAACAGAGATTTGCAGTTATAAACCAGAGACCTTTCATACATTTACTCGCACAAACTATCAAATGACAAATATATATAGAAAATTAGAGATACTGCCACGTGCTGCAAACCTATAGCAAAAAGAAATATTACCGGAATGCAATGTATAGACAAGCAGCCTGTACATGCTCTGATCTTCGTCCCCTGGTGAAACTCCTTTCAAGTGCTATCTTTACTAGGCATACACAATGATTCAATAAAATATCACATGAATGTATTATTAAAAGAAAGAAAGTCTGACATCACTGAAGTTAACACAGTAACATACTCTATAGAAAGCTAATGCTTGGTTGGCCATATTATCATCGTTCACTCCAAGGTTGGAACTTAAATATCTGAGATCATCATAAGCTGCAATTCCAAAGAAAATTAGCACATAAGAATGTAATCATTAAATTTAACCTACAAATATTAAATTATCATATATCATTGTGCTTTAGTGTAGAAAAGATAAATGTACAAACTTCTATTTTGTATATGTTTTCCCTATAGTTCTCATCAACTTCTCACACTATCAATGACATTGGTTATCATGATCATTGTTATAACATATTTTACTTTATCTCAATTCTCAATACAGATGTTAAACATTCAAAAGAAGAAAAACAAGAAAGAAGGTGCATATAATTAGAAGAACAGAAAATATTTAATATTAGAATAATAACATGTTCAATAGTTCCCATGTACAAGGCACCATGTACCGAATGAGAAAATCAATTTACATTATGATACTATGTAACAAAAAGAATTATTAGACCAGAAACCCAACTACATCCACATTCCATGGTATAAAATTATTAATGATGCATAACAAAGAATACCTCTATCTAAAGTCCTTTGACGTGAAGCAGAGAACTCACTCTGAACAGTTCTTACATATTGGCCTGATAATTTGCTCTGTGAAACAAACAAATTTTGGATACAATGTGAGGCAACAATGAAAGATATCAATAAAAACAACAGTATAGAAACAAGCCAACAAAATAAATTGATCATTAAAAACACTTAACTCGTATATCTCATGAGAAAAGCTGGAGATTTCAGATCTAGCTATGATTATTCAAAAAATAATTTTGTTATCAATTCGTAAGAAGAAAAGTTCTACACCAATTCCATTTCCATATCGCTTCATACGCCAGCACTTTGGGGAATCACTCTACATTATCACCTTAAAAACTGGGGAGGTTTCTCAGTACTCTTCCATTTTTATCAAGGTACACGTACCATACCCTGTAGCAATTAGTGGCTAATATTTCTGCATAGACATTAATTTCTAACACTTGTTTGAATAAGAGTTAGGAAATAAAATATTAAATTGCATTTTGAATGAAAATTTATATTGCTTGGATTGATGGATATAAAGAAGGGATTTAGGAAAGAAATAAGAAGTAATTGTAAAAGACCATATTTCTGTTTCTTGGATATTTCTGATAATTTGGGAATTGACCAGTTAACAGAATTTATCAGTTTCCTCACTTGTTAAAATGCTTCCCCTTTTATTTTCATTGCTATTTCAATGAAAGCTAGTTAGCGGCTTAGCGCATAATGATTCAAGATCAATTTTACATCATGGAAAATCCATAACCACGTTCTCTTTATTATGATGTAGTGGCTGTTGTCCTTTTGATAATTTACTTATACATTATTGTGTATTAACTTGTTTGGTAATTCATTACATGAAAAAGTATTCGACTTCTGCAATTAGGTGTTAGACTAGTGGTAGGAACACAAGGAATTATCTAATCATGAAAATGAACTAGGCAGGACAGAAGTTGATAGACTACTTCTCATTTGTGCCATAGTTGTCTAGTGAAGGGCATTAGTGTCCAACAACCCCTTTTCTGTGTCAAATCATGCCTCAGGTAAGATGAATAATATTCAGGCGGTAACTGCAAAATTTTGACATTTTTTACCTACCAATTCACCCCAAACAAATGCATGAAATTGTTTGACTCACTCCCTTAAACTTCCCTCAAAAAAAAAACACAGTATAAGCAATAGTACCCTAAAAAAAAAAAAGTAAACAATAACAAAAGAATATTGTATAGTGAAACAGGTGGGAACAACAATCCCATACCATCAATAAGGAACAAAAATCAGCTCGCATTCCTTTGTTTAGAAGTTCTAGTACTAGTACAAGACAATGGTAAGAATTATAAATTTTATGCACATACAGCCCTTATCTCAAACACACTGGCCTAAGTCAAAAATGTGACCTCATAAGCTGAATCCCTTACCCCTAATATCAAATTCTATTCCATTCCATCTTATTTCAATCATCTGAACAATGGCCTTTACCATTCCCTCACTTACCACTATGGTCCAAAATTGGGTCAGTGACCACAATGGAGGCCACAAAATTGAAATTTTCTATGTCTCATCAATCACAATTGTGATTGCATCAATTATAGTTTTCCACAATTTCACTAATCGCAATGCAACCACATATTAAAACCAGACTTACCATCATTCCAAACCAAAGTCTACCTTACACCAAAAACCAAAGTCTACCTTACACCAACCCAAAAAAAATCATTCAAATTACCTGCCCAGACGAACTTTTCACAAAGGTTGCCTCCTGAGAAAAATGGTAGTCTTCCAACACTTTCCCACATTCGCTACAAGTCCTGAAAACATTCCAATCGCAAAAAAACTTAACATTAGCAATAACCCAATCCAACACCATATCCAAAAAGATATCAAGAATTTACAAAATACATAAATAAATTTTAACGCATAAAAGAAAGGCGGTTACTCACAGGGGACCACCATCCTCTCGACTTCCGGAAACGTTCTTCCAACAGTGATCACAATACACCATTTTTTATTTTAATTCTATGTGTCAATTGACAATTAAGTAACACTCCGCTTCAATTCGTTGCCTGTTGAATCTGCGAAATCAGTGAGAAGAAAACTAGAATCGCCAAACGCAACCAAATAAACAAGAGAATCAGTGTTGATGAAACTGTAGCTGGAAATTGACGAATCTGTGCGAGGAAGAAAATTCTAGGGCAACAGCTGCTTCAAGATTTTGCTCAAATTTTATTTTGTAGGGAGCAGGAGAAGTACCGCCATCGATCACACTATATATATAAACTAAAATAATTATCCGTTTTTCTAAAAGTTTCCCTAGTTTAATTAACTATATCTCTAATAATTACATATAAATAAATATTAAAAATTATGGATTATTATTTTTTTTTTTGGTTCGTCCCTGGAGTATCCACCGTCGACAGCAGTGACTAATCTCCTCTCTCCTCGCTACGTTGGAGATACCTCAAAGGGTGGGATAGCTGATCCCAAGATTTAACGCGGCTGCATACACAAGACAGGATTCGAACCCCTGACCTTGCTTAAGCGTGGATCAACCCCTACCGTTGAACCACACGCTTGGGGTTATGGATTATTATTTTGAAAGGATATAATTTTTTTTTACATTTAAAAAATATAACTATCTACTAAAAAGTATAAATTAAAAGGATGATTATCAAAATATATCTTACTAGAAGGGTTAAAATACTTTGTATCTCTAACAGTTCCATAGACAATGATTATATTTTTTATATATACTAACAGGAAAAAGGCACTTCATGTCTGCATTGTATTAAAAGAAAAAAATAAAAAAATAAAAAAGAAAATGAGAAGTTACTCATAAAAAAGATAATTATTGAAAAATAAACAAGATAAAATGGTCCATGTAAAAATTGAAACCAAAAGTAGTTATTGAAAGTGATATCCCTTTTATATATTAATATAGATTCATTAGTTTCAAGTTCTTAAATTTGATTAAAAAATATTTTTTTTCTAATTTTTTAAAATAAAAAGGGTATAATGGTAAATGTTCTTACCTGAGATCGGTCGAGAGGGGTGATCTGCTGGACAAGATTGGTGAGCCTCCTTTGTTAGATACGTCAGCTGCTCCGAGGTGGGGGTGGTACCTGCAAAAGAGACTCCGATGCTAAAGTTAGTATTTGATAGTATAGACGTCTCATATATATAGTGCATGATGGAAGAGCATGGGCTAAAGGCTCAACCACTAGAGCTATGGCCAGGAGATTACTTGAAGATTTGACTGCTTCAGAGCTTAGTGGGCCTAATGAGCTTGGTTGGCCCAGGGTGCTTCTCACTTGGACCTTCATTGATTAAACACCATGTTCTATTGTATCTTCTTAGTATAGGAATTTACTTTGATGTTGGTCTTGTATTTTGACCATAGAATAGGGTTTAGGCGTCTTGGGCTTAATTTTGGGTTTCTTGGACTTTGGGCTTTTGATACCCAATATTAGGCTCATTCTTCTTCTAGTAATTTTTCCTATTCATTGTATTCATTAGACCAATGTATTTCGGTCAATAGATTAGGTTTATATGTAGAATACATTAATAGGAGAAATAGATTTCATTTATGCATCATTTAGAAGTAATTTGAATTGAATTTGAGTCACATGGATGGCATGGGGTGGATCCGGCCATGTGAGCTTCAAATTCAATCCAAATCACTCCTAAATGACACTTAGATGAGGGTAGCATCCGTGTAAGCATATGAGTTGGCCTAAGTTTGAATTTCAAATTTGAATTTGAAATTCAAACTTGGCGCCAACTAGGTTTACTAAGTTGCCGCCCAAGTTAACCTAATTCTATCCTATAAATGTAACTTTTCTCACCTTGTAACACACTTTTGAATATATGAGAATCTGAATTACTTCAGCCATTTTTAAGAGTCACCGAATCACCCAAGAGAGAACCTTAGAGAGT